TTCCTTGTCGTCTTTTTCTACTACAAACAGTGGGTCGTCCTATAATGAGGGCCGCACTATTGGTGCAGAAGTGGTATTGGTGAAGAGATCTGAAAACACCTTTTTGCACAAAAGAGTTGGTTCACTAATCACGAAAGTCCTTCCCATAGACTATTGATCAGGTGAAAAGAGTTTATTCCCTTGGCTCGTGCTCGTTTTGTTCACACGTCCCAGCGCTTAATGTCTCACTTTACTAAAATACCGCCACAGACGTTAAGTTAACAGGCACATCGCATATTGGAGTTGTTCAGTGCGAGGATGGATAGGGTGTACTTCATTAGGGAGTCAGTGTGAAAGAACGATATTTGGAGGCAGCCACAGAAGACGGATTGGTAGTACTGAACAGAGAGTCCCTAACGCCATAGCATCCCTCTGGGTATGTGGTGAGAGGATCGTAATTCGCCGCGCCATTGGGCGTCGCGTGCGCTAACGACGACCATTTTAGATGATATTGGTCGAAAATAGACAATGTATGACCAAAAACAGACATACGGGGGGGGGGGCGGGATGGGGGCAAAAAAGTCACTTTTCTTCCTTGACTTTCGAGGCGCTATAAGTTACACTTTATTAAATTCTGATCGGACATTTCTACCACCATATTAAAGAGCATATTAAATACTATCATGACACTCCGCCACAGCCTTCTGGACGAGCGCCATCGAGAGATTCTGGCACGCGACCGCGATGTGGTGCCTGAGATCAGCGAGATAGTCGATTTCTCCGCCACTGTAGACCACCCTATTGAACTCCGCCCGAACCAGGTAATTGAGGGGGTTTGTTCAGTGACCTGCTTAGATATTCCATCTTCTTCAGGTACTCAAACACCCTTCCATTCCAAGTAGGCGAGAGTTTTTCCAACGCCCTTCGATTTCATGTGGCGTCACCCAATCCTGTAGCAGTACAAAGTTTTCGAGATGGCCGGCAGCGACATCGTGGGACATTTTTTCTCGAGTTGGCTCGCATGTAACACCAGCGCTCACCCCTAGTCCGGGTTCACGAAGAAACATGTATTTTTCATTCCAGTTACATACGTGTCCGGATCCATACCATCAACCCACGCCTTGGCGACTGCGGTGAAGATGATGTCCTAGACCGTAGCGACGTTGTCGGAGCTGCTCGATGTTGGAGGTCATCCAGATCGAGAGTACTGGTCTCCAGGTAGCTATCCATGGGTGACTCCACACTAGAAGTTTCGCAGCTGTTTGGAGGTGACATGAATTCCAAAGGTCCAGTCAGGCTGCGACTGGAGATGACTTCATATTTTGGTGTACATGAAGGTGATGGGCGAGAGCCAGCTCCTGCTTATCGAGGAACATCTTCCGCCCTGGTACTCGTATCCACGTCCTCTGTCTGGGCTGCGAAAACTTTGCTGATATGTGACTCGGTCGAGTGCCTTTTTTTGGCCTCCGTGTACATGCCACCATGTCCTTGTCTACATGAAATCCGATGCTCCAATCAAAAGGGTAGTGCAAATCAAGGAAACGTCGCGCCCAATGCCGCGCGCGACGAAGCGGCAATTTACGATTCTCTTGCCCGTCTCCCCATCCCTTGTATATTATCCCATTGGGAAAATGTGGGAACACCGTAGTGATTTACTGTTGAAACGCATTAGCTTCGCATCACTCGTGTTCTCTACTCTATAGGGACAGTAATTTGACCAACACAAACGATGTAAATGAAGATCAACTCAATCTGTCCCATTGTGAACTGAACTGCGGACCTCACGCGTCGTAACACGCGTCACTGCCACTGCGCTATTGTCTGTGGGCCACCACTCCCTACAACTGAGCAGAAGGAGTTGATGAATTTCTTTTGGCATTAGAAACTTACGCGCGAATAAAGCACTTATAAATTATTCATATAAAAAACTCTTTCCCAATACCGAATAAATTATCACAGACATAAATGAATTACATTCCCAGAACAAGTACCTGTGGCTAAAATTCTCTGCACATAAAGCACGGCTCATACTTAGCGCAATGAAATAACAAATCAAAAAAGATGTACAGCACAGTGAGATTGAAGTGGCAGCAATAGTCATTATACATACCTCCACCATTATTAAAATCTCCCAAAATAATAAAAAAATTACTCCTTATTTAACAACAAGTACACATGCTGTACTGTAGGAACCGCCGCAATAGTCCTTCCTTCTTCATCGTAAGCCCTCGTTGCAAATGCTAGGGCTCTTGCAAATGTATCTGCGATTCGTTTGCGGACTGGTGAAAGAAGGATGGCCTCGGTCTCGGCCACACCAATGTACAGAGAGTACGTGGCACATAGCTGAATTAAAAAATGTTAGTACTGCGGAACAACTCCTTGTATTAGTGATGGTTTTTACACCCTATATCCCAGTGATGGGGAGGGCATGGCTGCGCCCTTCTTGTGACTCTGGCGGCAGCCGCAAAAAAGTATTCGCCCATAAAGCTTGTGACAGCTTGACTCTTATTAGGTTGTCCGGAAAGTTCTCAGCGTTTTGAGTGTTTCACTTTAAACGATCATAACTTTCTTAATACTCATCGGATTTAATCGAAATAAGCACCATTCGAATCAGCACACTTTTGCCAATGTGACAGCAGTCGAGAAATCCCATCAAAGAAAAAACTGGGTGGTCGAGAATCCACGAAATCTACGAAGGTCTTTTTTGCCTGGTCCTAATTGATGAAGTATTTTTCAGCAAGGAAGTTCTGAAAATGTTTGAAAAGGTGATAGTCGGTTGGTGAAAGGTCTGGAGAATATGGCGGGTGAGGTAGAACTTCAACCCCCAATTCGTTCAATTTATGGATAGTGATTTGTGAAACGTGTGGGCGGGCGTTGTCATGCAAAGGAATCGGACCCTTTCTTTTGATAAGTGTTGGCTGCATCTGACAAAATTTTCGGTACAATTCGTCGATTTCTTCACAGTAGGGTTCTGCTGTGATGGTTTGGCCTGGTGATAAAAAGTTATAGTGGATCACACCAGCCGACCGATGACCACCACACTGGGACCATGATCTTTTTTTCGTAAGGCTTTGGAAATTGCCTCGGTGGTTCGTCGGCATCCAACCACTGTCCGGAACGTCTCCTGTTATCATACATGATCCACTTTTCATCACAGGTGACAATTCGGTCCAAAACGGGTCGTTTCTGTTGCGCAAAAGCAGTGAAGAAGAAACCTCGAGACGTGCCAATTTCTGCCGGTCACTCAAATTGTGGGGCACCCACTTGTCGAGTTTTTTTCACTGCTGCGGATCCGCCAAGTGAACGTAAAGAATTCAAAGTGCACAAAGCATCACTTGGAGGCGTTGCGCACGTAACTGATCCTGCGCCAGCCCTTTCCATAGTCAGCCTGCGGCGCTCAACAATTGATGGAAATAGGCTGGCACCGCGCCAAAACATACATGCAGTCCTGTTCGCTGCAGCTGATGGGGCGTGCCAGTGAGGCTGGGTTTCGCAAGCCGCCAGCTCGTTCTCCACCACTTCTTAAAGCACGAAAGCAACCATTAATGATGGAAAACGACTGATACGAACTATGTGAAGAAGGTCTCGTTGCTTATTGAGAAAAAAAGGAAAAGAAATGGGTTGAAGCCGCGCCATAGCCATCCCCCTTGGCACGCCCCATCACCCGGGGTGAACAAAACTGTAAGCTGGGATGATCCCACATTACTCTCCGAAATGCACTATGTTTCTCAGGTACGTACAAGGTACAGGTATATATAAGCTAATAGTATTCTCCTGTGTCTCTAGTCTCATCAACACAATTACTGTATTGCAACTCCCAACTGATCCCAAAATATAAAGTGTTACCTCAGGCCATGCATGCGAAAGCGCCTTTACAGCAACTTTCGATAAATCATTGAGCTTCGAAGGTGCAAGATCTGGATGCTTCTTTAAATCGAAGTCGGGTTTCAACAGCTGAGAATATTCCGCAATTACAAAATAAGCAAATAAATGAAGTCAAATCGCTTACTACTTACCCTCGTCTTCTGCGGTGTCAACCCATTTCAGCAAAGGGCCCACGATGAACTCCGCGCTTGTAGCAATCAACTGGTTGCATCGGGTACGTAGCTGCGAATCAATCACGCGGCGTGTATCACTACTCTGCTCAGAAATATGGATGGGTACCTGAAAGAATAAGCAATGCTCCCTACTCAAAGTAAACATTGTTATGCAAGCAAGATTGAGTTAAAGCTCTCTATATAGCTCAAGCGAAGTCTCACACGGCTCTAAGGAAAAAAAATTTGTTTAAAGCGCGTTCACGCAAGTAAAACTCACGGGGTGATCCCCTTTTAAAGGAACTTTCTGAATTGGTGGTGGCTGAATATTTGTATACTCTTTAAACTGAAATCACCCCACAATTATGTTCCAAAGCTCTACACTACTTCGAAAAAATATGTAGCCCACCAACCGAGAAAAGCAACTCAAGGAAGGCGTTGTTCGAACTCAGTTCAAACCATCGGCTTTTATCATCAAAGAATGTGTTTTTCATTCGAGCAAAATCTATGGAGCAATCGAGAGTGGGTAATGTGGCATCAGCTCTAAAAAACACGTCTTCCAAGTCTGAAAGGTGTTAAATGAAGGAGCAATCCTCATGAGGAAATTCAACAGTGAAGTTAATAGTAGTATAGAACAAGAAATACCTGTGCGCAGCCTGTCTATAGGGAGCAGTCTGCTCCCTGAGAATGAGCAGATGCTTTACCAAGAACAACTCGCCGTCCAACTTCTTCGTATGACCAGTCTGAAAAGAGATCATCGTTTCACCATGGAAACAATTATGCGACTATTAGCATCCCATTACTTCAGTTTAAAGTTCACAAGAAAACTTGCTGGACTGTTGCACGCGAGTCAGTCCAACGAGCTATTTCCGCAGAATTCAGCTACAAGTAAAGGTAGAGGGAATCCCGAGTAATCACTATTCCTCGATGATGGAAAGATCAGGGACAGAGCCACATTCGCAAACTTCCAGAAATCTGATGGGACAGACAGGTCGCTCGATTCGAGGATGATCCCTGGGCTAAAGCCATTACCGATTGATGTCAAACGAACACCTGGACGACCAAAAATGCAATAGCCAGATATCTTCTTACATACTCTGTACGAATGGTGTGATGTTCAACGTGTTCCTTCCACGAGCACAGAGAACCCTTTCGACACGTTGTAGGGACGAACGGAGACGTTGTGATGCCCATCAGAGCAACTCTCAGTAGTACAGGTGATTGAGGAAAGAACTATCAAAAGGTCACAGGTGCTTGGAGTATGCCGTAAAAGAGAATCTGTTACCAACAAAAACTCCATGTTCACCGACCAGTGATCAGGAGGTTACATCAGTCCCCACAACTTGATTGCAATGAGGACTTTTCGGAGAAAACAACGAGCGTTAACGAGCATAAATAAGAGGATAAAAGATAAAATCTCCACCTGTTGATTAATCCCTTCTTGAGATGCGAAAAGCCTTCTACTTCTATTCGGAACCTAGTACGTTTGTTGAATGCGACACGGCGAGACCAGCCGATGAAGAAAAATCGGTGTCTCATTCTCCATAGACGCAAGCACCAGTCATAGTCCTGTGGAAAGCTTGGTTGGCTCAGGCGAGAGCTAATCCGGGATCTGACCCACGGACCGCGCGCGTGATACAGCGTGATTCCAGCGAACTGATGGGAGCGATCAGCCACAAAGTATGAATGCACTCTAAGCGTCTGAGCTAAATCTCCACTAGTGACGTGGAGTGTGATACACGGGAGGTCTGATTTGCCGAAAAACACATGAAAGCTGTCCTGTAAAAGAAGCCGTCAATGTGCCGAACCTTGACAATCACAGTCACGCTTCATACGTGCGCAGAAACAAACCGGCGTCCTGATCACAAAACAACGAACCAGGCTCAAAATGCTCACCTTTTTCGATGGTGATGCAGCAATGTGTAGAGCAGCTGCTTCTAGCGACTCAGTGCACATGGACAATAGATCACGAGCAAGCGATTGAAAAACGGCTATACCTGAAACGACGCGAGCGTTCCTCAGTTCTCAGTCATGGAAATTAATTTTGTAATACAAAAAATTGAAAGGAAATACGAAATTTTGAGTTGTGAAATGAAAGCAAAACATACATCGAGACATCTGTACAATTTTGCAAGGCACATCACGGTTCGCCGTACAGTTGGATACCAAAGGCAGTGAAGATCCACGGCGGATAATTGTGCCAGCGACTGGTCGCACTGATTGACGAGTCCTTGCCACGTTGCCTGAACAATTGTTCATTGAATCTTTGTAAAGTTAATATACAATAAGTCTAGAATCGGCATTGGGAACACTTCACTGCGAAATTTCACAAAAATTGTGGGAAAGTTAGACATACCATTCATCTAATAATATGCCACATTGTACAAAATTTCGAAAAAGCGTGCTGATATTTGTATAAAAATAATTTTCAGAACAAATATTCAAGAAATACTTACCGCCACCATCCGCCTCTTCCTTCTCAGCCTTTTCATCTTCTTCCTTCTTATTGGCTAACTCAATACTTTTCATCATTTCTAACTTCTCTGGATAGGCCAAATCCCCTGCAGCTGGCTTGTAGCCAGCAATATCAGTCTGACCATACAAAGCAGCCCTGTAATAAAGCCATGAGATTACGCAACAGATAGTGGTGCAACGGATTTCCGATTCAAGAAAAACTGTTCATCCGGATCGTATTCGCCGTCGACTGTTCGCAATTGTTAAGTTTTGTCGTTTTTCTGTGCTATATCTCAATGACAGTTTTTTTTTCCGGGGAGAGACTGGGAATTCATTAGAAACTTAGAAGAAGAAAATTCTCCCCCTTTTACCACCTTTCTTAGGAAAAAGGTGGTGAAAGGGGGAGAATTTAAGACGATGGTAGTTGGGGCTCGAGAAGGGGGAGTGGGCGGGGGGGGGGGGGTGTACCAAGAGTTAGCAAAATGTGTGGAAGTAGCATAAGAAAACAGGTTTCATCCCACCAGCAGGACAAGGCCCTACATGGCCACATAACGGCATGCCGCATGTCAGAGGTACCGAGAGGAATAAATGAAGCAAATCCGGACATAACGTCCTTCCAGCTTCACTGCTACGAGTTTAAAAGTGGCACACTTCTACAATCTGTATTGCCAACCATCTAACACATGGGAATTATCTGCACTTGAAAGGCAAGCATTACAGCGCGTCTCAGAACAAATATTCTTAATTAATAAGTACTTCTGTGCACACGAGGTTGTTAGGTGGAACTTTATTATGGCCTGACGTTTCGACTAGATCGTCTTCATCAGAGGCCTAAACGTGGCTCATGATTCAAATTCGCTCTCTCTACACCGCCAAAGATCTCCTCTTCCCTAACGTTTCTGACAGACTACTGAGAAAACCCCGAAAATCCCGAATGAGGGAAAGACTCACCCAGTCCACCACAGCGAGAGCGGATGTAGCCGCTCAGTTAGTTGTTAGTACAATGAGTGGAACTTACTGTGCCGATCTTGTATAGTGATTATAGTCAGATATGGCACGTCCCACCGCTCACATTAGTAGCTCGCAGTGCGGCACAAATGGCAAGAGGTCATTATAGTTAAGCTGACAAAAACACTCATTGCGGTTGTTCATTCTAGGATTTCTTGCAGAAATTCAGAATGCCTCTAACGCTTGTCTTGCCTCTAACGCTTGCCATTTGTGCCGCACTGCGAGCTACTAATGTGAGCGGTGGGACGTGCCATATCTGACTATAATCACTATACAAGATTGGCACAGTAAGTCCCACTCATTGTACTAACAACTAACTGAGCGGCTACATCCGCTCTCGCTGTGGTGGACTGGGTGAGTCTTTCCCTCATTCGGGATTTTCGGGGTTTTCTCAGTAGTCTGTCAGAAACGTTAGGGAAGAGGAGATCTTTGGCGGTGTAGAGAGAGCGAATTTGAATCATGAGCCACGTTTAGGCCTCTGATGAAGACGATCTAGTCGAAACGTCAGGCCATAATAAAGTTCCACCTAACAACCTCGTGTGCACAGAAGTACTTATTCAACGTAACAACAATGCCGAGGTTTTACGAAGAGAGAAGTTGGACACTACTAAATATTCTTAAGTTTCATAAAAGTAGATTCAGAACCACGGAAATGAAGCGAAAATTTTCCAACCAAGACAATCCAATCTGTGGTGGAACGATGCAAAATGCTCACGTAACAGGGGGAGGTAAAAAAAGTGGAAGTTGAAGTTTAAACGAGGAATGATTACCAACCTGTGAATAATCCTTTCCTCGACATCCCCAACAAGTTCACCAATGACATGCACAAAACCCGCTCGTGGATCAAACGAGATGCATTCTTCAGCGACAATCAGTGGAAGTACGGAACACCTTTCTTCAATCATTTCAACCTGAGGAAAGGAACATATTAGTACTGAGTAATCGCAGATTGAAGTCAAGTTATGATCAAGTTCATTGCGGACGAAGGGGCCTGTCAGGCAAGACGTATTTTTGGGGCGCTGCCAAACACTCTCACCAGCTAGTGAAACGAAGAAGGCATAAGACCATAACAAATCAGTCGTTTTCAACCAGTTGTTGCCGCATACCCCTTCAACAACTGGCAGAGAACGGATTTGACGCAGTGGCACAGTCATACTGCCTGACACGCCCTTTCGACCGCCGCAGACTGCTCTATAACCGTGATGTTGCCGATAATTACTTTAAGAATAGAGCACAACTCGGCCAATGTCTCCAAATGAGGATTGTGAATCACAATTGGGCGCAACATATCATACAGCAATCGGCAAATGGCCTCTATAAACTCTTCAAATGGATGTGGAGTATCGGAATGTTGCGTACGAGCTGATGCCACCGAAGGGGTAGGGCTGAAACGAACAAAACTCTGCGGAGTGCATTAGCGGGAGCTTCATGATACAAACCTGTGCCGTCGACTGAAACGCGATGGAGGACCGTCCGACACCTGTCCCGTTGAGAAGAACTGACGATAAAGTCGAAACTCATCATCGCATAGACCCAAAATGAATGCGCAACTGTTCCTTGTCAAGGCACATGACGAATCAGCATATGTACTAAACAGATCTCGAAATTGATCTCGAGAAAAAAAAAAAACTCATTTTGAAGCAGACGGAACAAAGCATGCAACCAAAACCGTTTTCAAATGAGAAGTTAATTTGTAGAATGAGGAAAGACCGTTGAAGACATATGAGCAAGAGTAGCCTGAATGATTGGCGTCAAAAGCTGCTGCCTAGTATTGAAATATGCCTGTTGACATTCAGCCAACATCGCTTGGAGCTCCGGAACCTGTGCGAATCTTTGCTCAGCAACTGAGAGCGCAGCCCTAAAAAATTAAAAATTAAAGTTATGAAAGCTAAGAGTGTCTTCTACTGCTGCCATTCAGCTTTTTAAGAATTCGCTGTGCACACGTCATGGCGTTTTGACCGACTTAGGCGGAAAGATAGAACCAGCGTTTTGAGCGTGTACCAGCGTTTCCAGCAACTAGGAAAGTGTAATATCGATCCAGCGTTTCTCGGCGCTCAAAATGCTCCCATTTGCTCGAAACGCTGACGCAAAGTGTGAACGCATTCTAATCTGCGAGCTCGTAGAAGAAAGCCGCTCTGCAGCTGACTAAAAAATAAACATAAAAACGTATGAAAACTCACTTCACCGAATTCGCCCGGGTAGCGAACACGCCATATAGTAAGGCGAATGTATCATCGTCAGCCCCTCCTCGACCTAACTTGGCGTAGTCTACCTAAATATTCCGTGAGAAATGAACTGACATAGTAGTCTATGTCGAACTGAATAGTAAGCACAGCAACTGCAGTCGATTCACATCAATAGGAACAAGCCCGAGCATATGAAAAACAGATTATATCATAAGAAAGAGAACAGGTTATTTTCTTTCCAACGTTTCACCATGGGTGTTTAGGTGGCGTTCATACATTTCGTCGGCGCTTCGAGCGTCTTGGGCGAAAAGGATAGTACAAGTGTTCAAAATACTCGAAAGGTGGGCGTTTTGCCAAAAACGTTAGATCTATATCTATGCTATCTTCGCACAAGACACTCAAAACGCTGGAAATTTACGAACGCAGCCTCGGACATATCTGGACACTTTAATACAATGCTAAAAATCTGCCTCTGGACCTATTTTAAGTACGCTCAGTATTAGAATTAATACCTGTAATTGCGACTGCCGATCCCTGACATCATTTACGGAAGCTTCGATATCCGCCATCACTCCGACACGGATCCATGTCATAGCCCTGGAAGAGGAAAGTTCTACACTGAGGTATGACTTCACAAATAAACTTCTATAGTAACGCTGAAGAAAGGAAAGATGGAGGGACGTCATCAAGAAGGACCTCACTGAAGTGAAAGCCACGGCAGAAGATGCAGTGGATCGGAACAAGTGGCGACGTCTAACAAGAACAGCGGACCCTGCGACGGCGCGGGACTAACGCTAGGGAGAAGAAGAAGTAACGCTCAAGGAAGTTATCTTCGTTCAGGGTGGGTTCGCAGTGAAGAGGATTGTGTCTCAGTCGAAGCCTAAGAATCCCAAAATTGAGAAAACCTTAGAGGTTTTTTGGATTTAGAACTCCAAACTATCGAAGGGAGATACAGAACGCTTCAGAAGTTCCATATACAACTGGCTCTCCAAAAATCATCATGAATGAAGAGAGAGTGACTTCTGTCGCAATTAATCACACATTTGGCCTTCTGTGTCGAGTAGGGGTCTCGGGGGCTGACTAACTGGGCCACCCAGCGATTACGTGGTGAGCTGTTGTCTCATAATCAGTGGAGCGGCAGAAAGGTTTCGCTAGGAAGCACGAATTTCTAAACTAAATAACTTTACAGTAATACACTGTAACTGTAACAGTGCGAAGTGATTCATCATAGTAAAGTATTGAAACTTGTAAAGTTCAGCTGGAGACTGTAATACACAACAGAAACCATACTTCTGTAACAGAAAAGAGAAGGAAGTGGAGGAGTTACTCATTCAAGCTAGACCTCAACTAAAAGACACCAACCTGCTGAGACACTGCTCGTATTTTACGATGTAGGCAGCGGATTCCTTGTACTCTGGATGCTGACGGAGAAATGTCAGGCATTCGTCAATCGTGGCAAGAATACCAGTGAACATTTGACCAGTTACGGAAATTTTTGTTGTATTGTTCAGCTTCTGCAAACAGCAGCTACTATGCAGCCAGTAAAGAATGGGTGGCTAAACTTGCTCATACCTTCATAATGATATCGGCCTGCTTGAAAAAATGCAAATTTGTACGAATCTGCTCGGCCCCTGCTGCCAGTGCTGTTTGGTACGCTAACGCTCGGTCGCAGGCATCGTGAAGGCTTGATGTGCGAGCTGTTACACTAGCGTACGATGCACGCAGTTCTGCCATTGTCTGAAAATGTAATTTTAAAGTGTTAATCTCGTAGCATCAATGAGCTTGGAGAGCAGTAGTTCAGAATCTGTCACATGCATAAAGTAAGGAAAAACTCGTAAGGTGCTCCGAATGCTGCAAGAATGTTTTGCTGCCGTACGCTTG